GTTCCAGTCTTTTTGGCACAGGGTTAACCACCGAGTTGATTAGTCCTGCTTCCTAGAGCTGGGTTATTATTAGCCTCCTCTGGACAGTACACAGTCCCTTTTACAGACTAGCACAGTGGCGGGAGGCTGAATGATAAATATTGCTCTCAGATACATAAATTCTTAAAATACATACCACTAAGTTCCCTGGCAATAGATCGTGGCCTCATGACACGGGCAACGCTGATGATCTCATCAAAAGAAACACTTCCAGAGTGCTTAACTACAAAAGAAAACGCAAACATGATACAAACATCAGGCACATATAGAATGCGAATAACAAACTAATACCATGTACATTACCTTTCAGAAGTTTGGGGTCGGTGAGACTTGTAAACGTTTTAAGCACAAGTCTCATGCTAAAAACTTGAACACATCCTGGCTGAATTCATTTGTACTGAAACACCAAGGAGCTTATGTTTTGATCAAATAATTTAGCAGTTATTTGCATATATTTGTCTCTTCGCGTAAGGCATGTCCATTTTTTGTTGTTAATGGTGTGCTATTTGGTTTCAAAACTACTATCAAATTACAAGTCGTTTTTACGCACACTTATGAATTTAATGCATCCAGGCTGAATTAAAAGTTCATGCTTACAGACCACAAACTTCTGAATGGCAGTGTGCATCATACAACACTCTGGCCAACAAGAACTGCAATAGAACTTGTTCCAGACCTTTCGGCACAGAGTCACCCATTAAGTTGGGCAGCCCTGTTTCCTAGAGCTGGGTCACTATTAGCCTTCCTTTGGCAGTACAAAGTCACTTTTACAGACAAGCACAGTGGCGGGAGGCTTACACTCAATAACCACAAAAGGCCAGAACCCACAAAGTCATGATTCCTCCAACATGGTGTATTACTGAGGTGGGGTAAAAAGCTACTTACTGTTCTTGACCTTCTTTCTGTCACGGGGAGGTTCCTTCAGCGCCTTGATGATGAGGGCTGAGGCTGATGGCACCACCTCAATCTACAGCAACAACAAAACCTTTAAGCATCTAAAGGCTAGATGACCGCAAGAGCCAATGTAGAGACTGAAACACTTCAAGGGCTTACCGCTGCTTGCCTGTTCTGAATGGTCAGTTTCACAGTGATTCGCAGGCCCTTCCAGTCACCGGTGGCCTTTGCGATGTCATCACCCACCTTTTTAGGGGACTAAGAAAAATAGAGAACGAAAGATGAGCATACAGCATGGAAGAGTGTCAGTGTGCTGCGACACAATTGGTGTGGGTCACTATAAGCCTCCACTGGATTGTTCAAAGTCACTTTTAAAGACTAGAACAGTGGCGGGGGGCTTATGATATAGAGAATAGGATCAAACAATACAGACTGAACC